GGAAAGAGGAAATTAAATTGGAAATTTGCTGTTACATTTGCAGAGTCTTTAATGTCAGATATTGTGCAAGTCCATTACTTCAAAACTCCAATTAAATTAATTCGGCACATCCTCATTGCCATTATGTATCACTTACTGTCCCTGTACCCATCAAAAGCTCCCTTTTATTTTAAATGGTAGATACAATAACCTCTAGTCAAAATGAGCTTTTGCTAAGCACATGTGTGAAAAGTGTGCTCTGCCAGAGCACTGCAGTTTAAGAAACAGAACAAGTACACATGATTAAATTTCCTCCTTTGGAAGCAATTAAATATGGAAGACTGTTTGTCAACATATTAATTAAATAGGAACATTCTAAGTAAAAAATCCCCAAACAAATAAGAGTTGGCATATACTAGCAGGATCATCTGATTGAAACAGGCAATTTAGAGAGCTTGTTGAATTAAAGGCTGTTGTGCATGTGTTTATTGGAGGGAAGGAGATGCTTTTCCAGACAAATAGTGGGATGAGGTAGAGCCTGCTCTTCTCTAGTTCCTGGTCTCTGATGTTTCCCACCTACTTAATGACTAGATGGAAGGAAAGAAGGGAAAGAAACCTGCCAAAAACTTAGGACTTGGGGGTAGTCATTAGCAGGAGGTGACCACCCTCTCTGAAGGAAAAGTAAATAAAGCAGAGGCTAATACTAATGGGGAAAAAAGCCCATGCTGCTTCCCAGTGTGCAGGCTGCTCCTTGGCTGGAGGGAAGCTGAGGAAGGGCGGCGGGGGGACGCGCGTCCCCAGAGCTGCCTGCGCTCCATGGAAAGGGCTCGGGAAAAGCAGACAACAGCAGTGAGGCAGGGTCTGGAAGATCACTATTTTGGCATTAGGTGCCTCAAAAACCTGCCCAGTTTGCCCCAATTTCTTCAGCACTCAGCAGTAGCTGCAGAGCCAAGAGGAAGATGTGGCAGTTTGGCTCCTTCCCTCCACTGACACAGAGAGAAAATGCTGTGGGGTGAGCTGCTTGACACAGATACTGAATTAGTATTTAAGGACTGACATGTCACTCCTTTTTCATGAAAAAATAATGAAGAATGCCAGGCTTTCCTCTATGAAACATGTGCTTAGACTTTTAAAACTATGGTTAGAGCAACCAACTCAAAATTAACAGAACTGCAAGCCTTAAACTAGGCTTTTTTTTTTTTTTTTTTTTGCCAGGAAATACATCTAAAAAGCCCTTTGACTTCAGTGGAGGATGCAGGCTATGTATCAATGCAAAATATGCCCCATTGGGGTCAAAGTGCTGTTTTTTAAAAATGAGTTATTTTGGTCCCCCATTTTTATTTGCTCTTCACTCTGGGAGGGCCCTTCCCTTCGCAACTGACTTTTTTAACTGTAACTTCTTTGGAGCAAACACAGAGCCTGTAGTCTGCTGCACAGGCTGGCACTTCAGCATTTTTGTGGGGGTTTGCTCAGTATTTTGCAGAAAAACCAAATGATTTTAGACAGCCAGTGGGTTCAGGAATGAAAGATGCGGTTACCTTGGTACACATTAAGGTGCTAGACTGGTGATTTTTTTAAAACACTACTGAATGTACAGCTTTATTTTGTTACTTGAATTGTGTTGAAACCCTCTGGCGAGAAGGTGATTTTTTATTGGCATTTTGTTTGTTTTTCTTTCTTGCAGCAAACAAGACAGTGCTGCATTTGCTCATTCCGGAGCTGATCGACTCCTTGTCAACTGGATCTGAACTAAATTTCAAAGCAAATCCCTGTCCTTGGGTTTTTTCTCAGCACGACGATTCCTGTGCATCTCCGCTCTCCTGCAGCCCTGCGCTCGCCTGCTGCTGCTACAGTATTTATCAGGAACACGTCACACAGCCGCTAGGTAATTTAAGGAATTCACAGCAGTTCTAGCACCAGCCGCCACCAGCTTTATAATCTTTATAGATGCAATTAGAATTGATTGAGCCTCTGCAAATAACCAATGGCAAAACGAAGGTTTCCCAGTATATACTTAATTAAGATGACCCATAAATATGGATTAAGCGAAAGGCCTTAGGAATGCGTGGCTGTCTGCTACTGCCTTCGGGCCCCAGGGACAGGCAGCTACAGCTGGAGGGGCTGTGGAGCAGAGCAGCCCGAGCAGGAACGAAGCCCCTGCTTCCCTTCTGTGCCCTTCCTATTTGAAGGAAGAACTGTTCGATGTATTTATTCCCTTCCCTGCTTTTTTTTCCCGCCCCCTGCCAATCCAGTGTTTGGTATCAGCTTGGTCTTTGCGGCTTTATCTGCCCACTGGCTCCCAGTAACCTATTTAGCTTTAATGAAACAGGTACTGCCACTAAACGCCTGACAACTCATTATCATCCCTCCAGCTGGGAGACCACTGTGAAAGCTCTGCCGTGAACATAAACTCCGATTTAGAACTGGAATTGCCTTGGCTTCTCCTCTGGCCCCGAGAACAGGCGTGTGCTGGCGCAGGCAGCTCCACGGGGCAGCGCGGAGCCGAGCGCTGCCGAGCGCCCGGCCTTTTCACCAGCACAGGAATCTCCCAGGCTCCTGGGCTTAGGCTGAGAACTGCTGCGTGCTCAGACACAAACCCTCCTTCCACTTCCCTGCATTAGAAAAGCAGCAATTCCCATGGGATTTTTTTTCTGGCAAAAGTCTGAAACCCTAAGGGAGTCTCCAGATTGTGTGGTGCATCACTTGGGTTATGGGCGCTGCTCCTGGGGGGCCGGAGCAGGGCACAACCCGGGAGCCCACGGAGGGGCCGGTCCTGGGCTCGGCAGCCCCCGCGCAGGGGCCGCGCTGCCCGTCGCCGCGCGCGTCCCTCGCTCCGTGAATAGAGCTTTTATCAGCCCAAGCAAGGACATGAATATCACATTATTTCTGTATGCTTTAACGTATAGCTGGGAGGGGGGGCGCTAGGACTAGCAGCTGGCAGGATTTCTGTCCTGAGGGATCTCACGCCCCCATTTATGGCCAAGTGCTCTGACTTGGGCCTCCTGTCTGGCTCTGCCTCTCTCCATCGCTGTGCCGGGTCTCCAGACCATGTCTCACCTCTGCTGCCTAAAGCAGAGAGCAAGAGCCCCCGGCGGGCACGGAGCCCTCGTCGGCTTCTTCCTTCCTTCCCTGCTCCTCCTCCTCACTTTATGCCATGTGATGGATGGCCGGAGGGGAAGAGAACAAGAAGGAATAAATAACAGTGGGCTCTAGCCTGCCCTGAATTAGTCTGGGGAGTCTCAGCAAGCCTCTGGGTGTGCTCAGCAACCCCAGGTTTTGAAAAGGGCAACGGATTTGTGTTTTCAGACCAATTTACCTTTGCTCTTTTCACAGACAAATTGCACCCAAAGCCACAGCCGTTCCTACACCTGGAGGGTTCAGCGGGGCGCAGGTCTGAGCACTGCCAGGCAGATCGATGCCAAGTGACACCAAACGTATGAATGACTGTGATCAGTCAACACCTGTGGAGCAGCTATTCGCTTCCCAGGGCATCCTTACAACAAGGACTTCAATTTTGGGGGGGAACAGGAGAGAGGAGGATGGTGGGTAGAACAACATTTTCAAAAAATCCCTAATAGAATATAGGATTCCCTTCTGCTGACAACTCCTGGCTAGGTGTGATGCATGTTTGCTTTCCAGTGTTCAGACAAGACAATACTACTCCTTCATTTTAGAAGATTTTTGGCAGATGTCATGTTGTTTACAACTGAACAGAAATTGTTCTTCTGGAAGTCCTAATTCTTCTGTCATCTTCTCCTAATGCCTTTATTTGGCATAGAAAAATAAATTTAAATAGTTGAGTGGTGTCAATCAGACACAAGCTGGAAATCAAAAATAGATGACAATTTTCTACGTTGAGTACAATAGTGTCACTGAGAGAGAAAACCATAATAACCAAACAACAGAAATCTGCATTGCAAATACCTATATAATTGTAACTACAGCGGAGTGTCATTATTTGCCCCTGTAGTTAATTTTCTCCTTTACCTTCATGCCTCAGACATCTGGAGATTATACATCACAGCATCAGTAACAAATCATTCCTGAGGCGTTTTTCCTACATAAAATTGTTTTCAAGTTTTATATCTCATTCCTATAGTAGACTGTAATTACCCTATGAGGGAACAAGGCTATTTAACCAAAAATAGAAGCCTGAGCTTCTCCTAGTGAATCAATGGGTCATTTTTCTTTTTGCAGCTCAAGTGGCCATACAGAATGACTTTGTAATTTCAGCAGAGTCAATCCAGATTCAGAGTTTGGAGCACAGGGAGTTTTATTTGAGTTGCAACATGGGGATTCCTGGGTGCAAGCTGAGGAACGTCTCCTCTGGCCTTACAGGTAAAAGGCTGCAGATTTTATCACCGGCTGGCACTGCGCCACATTTCCCATTCGATTTTTGCCTTAACTGTTAAATTAGCCAAGAACATGGAATTCAGTAATTTACAAGGGGCGAGTCAATAATATCCGCATTTAGAAGTAAGCTGCCTCAAACTTTGAAAAACCTTCCCTTCTGCGCACCGTGCTTCCTCCCACTTCATCACTGTCTATTAGCTAATGGCAGCAGCAGGCTGTCCGTGCTTTCGTTTCTGCTTAAGAAACGATGCCACCAAATGTTAGAAGAAGAAATCAGTGCGTTAGCTGTTGTGGTGCGAAACGTGCAGAACGAAGCTCCCGTCGAGCCAGCTAAGGGCTGCATTAGCTCCCAGCGGCTGCCGGCTGCTGTTGGCGTCGCAGGGGCCGCACATCACCCGGGAAGGGTCACGCCTGACTCAGTTTATTTGCTGCCTTGTCAGGAAGAAGAACTTCTGAAAACTTAACAGGTTCATTCATGTATCTAGCAACTTTAAGACGTCTAAAGTTATGAATATTGATATTAGACAGATGGAAGTACTTGAGCACGTAAGGAGAATGGTAAAGATATTCCTAGCAACAAACTTGTTTTGATCTTACTGAATAAGAAAGCAGGGGGGGTTACAAAATGTTCCCTCTTCCCACGGCCCTGTGTGCGCAGCGGTTGCTGAAGAACAGCCACATGAACGGGTGCTCCTGCTGTCTGCTGGAAAAGGGAGCGTGGCTCTGCTCCTGTCATTCGGGGACACAGCCCTTGCATGGATGTGTATTTCTGCATTTGCGAAGCAGATTTTGGCGGGTATTGGGGAAAAGTGGGCACCTGGACCTGATAAATATGTCAGCATATGAGCTCTGGCCTAGGGTAATTTTGACTAATTCAGCATTTCATATATAAATGCTTTTATCATTAAACGCATAGACTTTGTCAAGGTAAGAGCTTAAATGTCTGTACATTTCTCTGAGCAAGTGTGAATGAAAAGCAGCAGAGAGGAAATGCTCCATTTTTTTTTTTTTCAAATTTCTCAATTATGTTCTTTTATCATAACTGTTAGACTATTGAGACTTTAAACTTCTTTGGATCTTGAACCACGCATATTTTAAAGATACAAACAGCCTTTTGTTCAAAGTGCCTGTGTTTTATGGACTGGAGGCAGGCACTTTGGCTTGTCATGGTACAACGTTTCTTCTGATTTAATATCTAAAATATTCCTTTCTTTTCTCCTTTCCCAATGCACTGCAACTCCATTTTTAACAGCAACATTTACAGTGAATAAAGATGTGATAACTATACTATCTCTGGAACAAAATAATACAACTTACCTTGCTTGATAGGCTGCCGATTAACAAAGGTGAGAGGAGTAACGAGGAATTTGGTTTCAGCTACTTGTACCCAGTGGTGCAAAATTTTGATTGTCCAGACACCAGGTCGGAGGGGCAAATTCAAAGGTGGTTTGTAGTGAGTAAATTCTGCGCTGGATTCAATCAGGATATCGTACGTTGCGGCAATTATGTTGATGGGATCGACCCAAATGACAGTGACGGTGACGTTGGGGCCTTTCCCCCACTTCTGCATTCCCACCGGCTCGTCCATCGGCCCCAGAAGTCCTCCGAAGTTCCGGAAAAGCCTCTCCTTGGCGTCCCACTCGGTGCCGATCTGCAATCAGAGGCAGCTCTGCTGCTAACGGTTCCTCCGCAAGCACCCAAGACCCCGGCGACGAGCGGGGCCCCGCGATGCAGGAACCCGGCTGCTCCAACCCCCGCGATGCACGAACCCTGCTGCTCCAACCCCACGATGCACGAACCCTGCTGCTCCAACCCCAAGATGCACGAACCCTGCTGCTCCAAACCCCACGATGCACGAACCCTGCTGCTCCAACCCCCCCAAGCTGGAAGCGCGGTCAGAGCTGCCCGGCTGGCCAGGCCTGCACGGTTACATTGGGAGCAGGAAGGGGCTTTTGCTGCCCCAGGAGAGGCACAACCCGCGCTGTCCCCTCACACTGTCGCGGGGAGTTATTTCTGCTAAACTCAATTCGTACTGTCATAACAGTGACGGTCTTTTTTATTTATTCACTACCTGACAGTAAAGCAGCTGATTCACAATCTAGTGTAAATATTTAATAGACCTTTCCTTTTCCTAGCAGCTTTCACATTTCAATGCTTTATATGTATTTTAATGCTTCACCCATAGCCCATGGGATGATACCAACTTACAAGCTGTTGTCATTAAACACTACTGAAAATAAGCATGTGTAACCAGATGGCATGGAAATATATGTAAAAATTGGACTCTTTAGGCCAACTGAAAGCCTTTTTACCAGCCCAGTGGTATACCCCACTACTATAGCTAGCGTGTATTTATGATGTTAACAAAACCAATTCCTCCAGTTCTCAAGGCAATCTGGTAGAACATAGCACTGAACATTGTGTATTTGCTTTTGGACCAAGGGCCCAACTTGCTTATCCCGTGAGGTCCTTTTTCCATGGCCTCAACGCAGAAGAAATCAACACCAAAAATGTTTGAACTGCAGAGCAGGAAAACCCCTTGGCTCCTTTTGGTAAAGAGGCCTGTCATTCCTGGTGAGACATACGGATGACGTGATCAGTCTGGTACTGAAATCCCTCACAACTCTTTAGGTCTTAATGCTTAAATTCCCAACAAACAACATAAATGATCTAATAGTGATTTTGTTCCATAAACAGCAACCATGGGACTCCTTCAAGGGGTCCCTGGAGTCCCATGCGCACACAGACTGGATCCTGCTCTTTCAGCATACGAGGACAGCAAAGATTTCTCCTACACAGCATCTGTTCTTGTCCCTAACCTTCACCTCGGTGGTCCCACAGTCACAACCTGCTTTCCTGAAGCAGTAAACAAACCATTATAGCTGATTTGCTTGAAAGGCTTCTCTTCTAGATTTCATCTCACCTGGTGAGAATGAGTGGCCCCAATCTAATGCCAAAATCCTACAAATATGTCAAACAAAGCAATTACCTGATGTCTACTACCACTGATATCTGTACTGGCAACTGTCCAGTCTCTAGTCTCTTCTAAGCAGATCACTGTGGTTGGTAGAAGAATTACATAGGGACTGAAAGCAAAAGGCTACAAGGCCAACAGAATAAAAACCTGAAGCTCTAAATCCATCTGGCAGCATACAAGTTTCTCCTACAGGACTACGACACTGAAGAATAAGAGACAAAATGAGTCCTCTATTACTCTGCAATCACCACAGCAGAATCACAGCTAGCAGAGGTATTTCTCCTGGCACAACAGCTAATTGGCCTACACAGCATGGCCCAGATACCAGACCCAAGCATTGGCTGCCCTGAAGAGCTGTCACTGTGTACTCTCCTGACAAGACCACCTGAATATGGATGGAACTAAGCTGTGAAAGAAATTTTCCTAAGCAGATCTTATTACCTACTCCACCAACCTTCACTGAGCATGGCCATGTCATACTGCTGTAGCTCAAGAGACCTAGAAATAATAAAGCCACAATACGTGAAACAAATACACACTCTTCTGGGCAAAAGAAACCCTTTGCAGCCCTTTCCAACAGTGTATTTTACTGAAACATGTCTGAAGAACCCCTTGAAGAAAGTTCACTTTCATCCTCAAATATTAAATGTTCAACCCTGACATCAGTTCTTGTCCTGTCTCTAGCCTCTGCTGCCCTGGAAATGACACCACATTCTCCGTCCTCCAAAAGCCCTGACCCTGCTTAACAACCTTGTTGCACAAAGCATGGGAGACACGTGCACATACACAAAAATGCACGTGAACTGGAGAAGAGTAAAAGGTCTATGGAAGAGTACAAATTACTCCCAGGGTAAAACAAAAACATGCACTGGGATGCAACCAGTGGTGCTGCAGAAGAATTCAGGAGGCCTCTAAGAAATGAGCTCCTGGATGAGAAAGCTGGCAGAAACTGAATGCAAGCAAGACATGAACAGAGCTGCCACCAGTTTCTGAAGGAGAGGGAAGATGTTGGGTCGAGCATGTTTCCCGTCAGCGAGAAAAACCTCAGGATGCTGTTTGAATCAGTAAACTTTGAAATTAGAATGCTTTGTTTAAATCTGTATTTAAAAATGTTTTCTGTTTCTTCTAGCATCATCTCTTCTTCCTGGACCAGCACATGGATGCAGGTCTCCTTGTATTCATCACCTTGAACTCAGTATCTGTAACTCACTGTATCTGAAACTAATTGTGAAGATGATGCATGAGGTAAAGCATGACCCACCTCCTCGATGATCTACAGTGCTGTAAACGTGTCAGACTCTGCTACCAGCCTCCCGTGCAGTCCCTGTAATTTTCAAAGCAATTAATGGCTCAAGGCCTGGCTAAATTGAAGCTCATATTTCTGTCTATGAAACTGAGCCTGTCTAAAGCAAGGCAAATCACAACGCTCATGAGAATTGGGGAAAAAAACTGTTATGTAGGGATATTGCTAACTAAGGATTTTCTACAGACATCACAGAAATCCAAACTGGAACTACTTAACTAAGGATTTTCTACAGACATCACAAATCCAAACTGGAACTACTTTTTGAAATCCTGCAAGCCTGCTTCTTCAAGAAAGTCTTTCTGCCGTTAGAATGACACCTCACCAAAAGACCATTCCCTTTGCCAGGAAAAAACTTAATCCAAATCACTCAATCCAGAAACCTATTCCAAAGAGCAATCCAAGCCCGGGGATGTAGCAGGGAGTTCATGCAAGCAGTGGCTGCTCTTGCTGCCAAAGGCCTGTGCTCAGACCCGAGCACCAGCCAGGGCATAAGCCCTGCACTGCAGATGAGGCCCACGGTGCAACATCGAGGTGGGCAGATGTGTGACAGGAGCACATGGGCCACCCCATGCAAAACCACAGCTGCAGGAGAAGCAAAGGGAAGGGGGCCGCACACGTCTAGTTACGAGGTCAGTCCTTCATACCCAGCGCTGGTCTGGTACAGACTTTCCTTGCTGCACAGCTTACAGTACCAGCTGGTTTTAGAAGCACAGTTTAATTTTATTTAAAGCAGTATTTAGAGGCTCATGCATCTTCCCCTGAACTTTACGCAGGTGAATTCCTGGTACCAAGATGTCTGATTTTACAGGCTAAGAGATACTACAGCCCTATAATATTTTTCATAGCCCCTTAAAACATCTTGAGTAGGCTTTCACTTTCAAGTGGAACACACAAAGTATAGGAGGCAGCCGAGCAGTAACAAATATCTGATATAATACAAAGGTACATGGCACAGAAACATTTTACACGTATTTGGGGCTTCCAGAGCAGGCAGTGAGCACGGGTACACTTGGCAAGCTGCAACTCTCTCACTTGCTTAAAACTACTGTTTTCTGTCTCTGTTCAGTCCCAAGATAAAATTTTCCCAAGATAAATTATGCCTTGATTATGGGTTTGTGTCTCATTGCTCACCACAAACAGGACCATTAGGTTCACACAATGCACACTAATTGCCTGCCACCTAGTTTATTTTATTCTCCGTGATGAATCACAAGTCTTAACAAGGCCAGAAATAAACTTCATGTTCCCCCGTTATAGTCAGAGCTGAGACTTTTAGTACTCTACAGCGAATCAATCTCTTGTCCTCCATGGAAAAGCTACTACGAAGCCAGAGCAGTCATAGAAGGCTACGTGGTACGTGTATTATTTACAAGCCAATTTTAGGAGGTGTGGGAGTTTCCCGACAAAGAGGAGGGCAGAGGTCTCAGCCTTGGAAATCTTCTCTCTTGGATTTCCTGTAATTTTATGTAACAGCCCAAGACTGAGTGCAAGGAGCCCAGTGCAACTGGCACGCTGTCATTAACCCTGTTAGGAGGTGCACAGGGCTTAGCTTTGCAAGCACGCCGGGATGGTGGCAAATCCGCTGCTCAGGAGGGCGAGCGGAGGAGCGGAGCGGGGAGCACTCGGCCCTGCTGCAATCTGGGGTTGCCCCAAGGTCACAAGGAAGCCCAGGAGCACATTCAGGGCAGCTTATTTGTGCTCTTCCTGATGGCATCACTGCATTGAGCTCAAAGAGGGAACAAAGCTCCAGCTAAAACATGCCCCGTTCAGCGACACGTTACTGTGAGATCGTGCGATGGAAGCGGCGGCTGGAAAAGCCGCAGAGTAACATTTCTCAATAAACACAAATTTCAGATTTCTTTTCTGGTGCACACAACCTGTGAACATTGCTATCCTTTGTTTCCTCCTTGTATTGAGATGAAGTTTGATGTGTTCTTTCTAAAATTTTTTATTCAAGCTCTAAAATACTAAGACGAATGTATTAATTTTTACCATGCAATGAGAAAAGACATTCTTGCTACCTGCAAAAGCAAGACTTAGAGCAGGTATCAGGCTGAAAGCAGCATTAAAAGAACCAAATAAATAGCAGCATTTCGCCTACAGATTTCAAGAATTAACGCCTGCCTGACCATTTATCATTGCATGAAATGGCACGTCTACCATCAGACACATTGATAAACGAAACACACCTTCCATCCATCTCTTTAATGGCACATTAGTGTCATGGATTTGCCATGCACACCAAAACACTGAATTCTACCTAGGCCTTTCTTAATTGCCCAAGAAGATGGTAATTTATGGACTTGACCATAATGACTTGAACACATTTGTTCAATCAATTTTATGCCTTAATTGAAATTTGTGGCTTAATGAGAAAAATCATGGAATTAAGTGCCTAGACAGTTTCATCTTTAAAACAGAACACAGATGTCAGGTTCTATTAGTGGTCAACTTTCCTAATATATTTTAGGGGTACATTTTTATAGCATATGTCAGATACTGAGACAAATTTCAAGAAGAAATAACAAGCTTTGTGGGAAATCTCAACTGCTGCTGTGATAATTTTCTCTTTGATGCTGCAACATCAATATTCTAGTCAGATGTGGCACTGGTGCCTGACTATCACTAAATTTATGGTTTTTCAGCGTGTTCTCAAGCAGAACACTTACTATATCCCCATTCCCATCTGGAACTGAAAAAACAGGGCATTTTTCAGCTGCCAGGACTCTCTCATAGCTACAACTGATAGCAATCACAATTTTTGCAGTTACTGAGCCCCTTCTACAACTGTATTGGTGTTATAAGGAAGCTGCGCATTAATCTAGAGAGCCACTCAGACCTAGGAATGACATGGAAATACTCTTGCAAAGGCTGCTGAATTAGCATGCAAGCTCTCCACGGGCTCACGATGCAAAAGGGTGGCTAAACACACGTACCTCGGAGAACTGCAGCCTTCCAAAATCACTCGGTGGACTTGCAATCTTGAAGACCTTCTTTGGCATCACCCACGTTTCCAAAGTTTCCAGCTTACTGACAGCCAGGTTGGTCGCATGGTATCTGATTAGGAAGCCTTGGAAGCGGTCAGCAAGGAAGTAAAGGTGGACTGAAATGGGATGGCCCATGGGATAGTATCTGCAAAAACAGCACAAGCGCATGCTCGTCACTTACACAAACATGAGACATGAGGTCCATGTTTCCTTGGAGCTAACAGCTTAAGGAGCTTAATTCCAACTAGAAAATTCACTGATGTTACGAGATTTCAAATGTGTTCATTACTCATTATCAAATACTCATAAGCTGCTCTGATTATCCTGAAATATAAAGACTGTTACTAAGAATATAGGCTCATTTAGAAGCTCTTCAGCGCTGTAAGTTTTTTAGGAGCTACCTCTGCATGCCAGAAAGCTCCAGTCCGTGACGACCTCCTCTGGATAAGAAGCTCTACCCAGAGGGACACCCCTGGGCTGGAGCACTGTCTGCGAGACTAAAGGATGTTCAAGCAGTGTCTGCTCTGTCCTGAATCAGGGGGTCTCCTTTTCTTCCGCCTTTGGAGAGGCGCTGGCGGGGGCAGTGACTAGCTGGCGCTGCCCGAGAGCTGCGGGACGGGGACAGCAGAGGGTGCTCCGAGGCCGGCGAGACGCCCACGGCAGCGGCGGTGCCCGGCTCTGCTCAGCCCGGCCACGTCCCCGCTCCTTCCCGGGGCGATGCTCCCCAGGGACACGGGCAGCAGGAACCAGGCCCACGTTTACAGAATGAACCTCACACTCACGAAAGGCTTGGATTGCGCTTGCCAAGGAATTTTTTTACTCATAATTATAAAACAATCCCAACCAAGCAAACGGGAAAAGAAAATCTAAACAGGAGGTCTGGAAGCCTTCACTTACAGTGTGGCCATTAGATCCTTTGGTATCTAATACTATTAGTCTAGTAAATTACTACTAGTCTAGTAAACTACTAGTCTAACACTAATATCTAGATACTACTAGTCTAGTACTACTAGGATCTAGATACTAGTCATGGGTTCAAATGATCAAAATTTAGGGCCCACTGTCTCTTGCAGTGTCAGAAAAGTTTTTGTAATTATATATGTGTGTATGATATTTCTGTAGATATGGATACATAAATAAGCAACTAAATAAAATGCTTTTCATGTCTCCATAACTGAGTAACTTGTTATTTTGCAGAACTGACATTAACTGCAAAATGAGTATATTTGTAATCTGTTTAAAACCAGCTGGCATCACCAGTTTCCAGGAAATTAAATCAGCTAAGACTGACTCCTCGTCTTGGTTATCACAGCTTGAGAGGCCAGCACTAAGAAAAGCCAAGCAGGGATGACTTTCCTGAGATCAGTAACACTCAGGAGGGACTCTGTAGAGCTTGGGAAATAGACCCAGTGAGCTGGGTACAAGCAGGACCAGCACTGACAGACCACAGAACCACAGCAAAGCTCTGCAGCCAGCACAGGCAACAGCCCAGCTCCTGTTCTGAACACTAAGGCCTCCTGTTTTATACGTGTGCAGCAGCAAATATTTACCATATCCTTGAACCAGCCTGAGTAAATTGTCTCTTGGCAGCAGTGAGTAAAAAAATGCCTAGAGATGGAGAGAAATAAACTAAATCTCCATCACACGTTGGTGCAGCTGATTCGGCAGCACAGCAGTGTGCAGGGGCCGCACGGCCCTGGCGGGAGCGCGGCTCGCAGCGGCTCCGCACCAGCGTCCTGCGCGGCTGCGGCGGCAGCGCGAGGAGCAGCGCCGTGACCCCGGCAGCAGTGTGGCAAACCACGCCGCTCGTAGGCCTCGCAGCCGAGGGAATGTTATTGGGGTGCTCCGTCTAAAGCAGCGCCGTGCCCCAGGCAGCAGTGTGGCAAACCACGCTGCTCGTAGGCCTCGCAGCCGAGGGAATGTTATCGGGGTGCTCCGTCTAAATACATCCCTTCTACTGCTGCTTGAGATGTGCAAAATTACCCGTGGGAAAGAAGAAGTGTACACGTGTATACTAGCACGACAGCAGAGTATCAAGAGAGAAGAGAGGCAACACATGAATCTGAGGGTTATCTACTTCTGTATGACTTAATTTGGACACTGACTAGCGGTGCTTTGAGGGGACTTGGCTGGGTGTGTAAACGTGGCCTTCACGCAACATCCCTGCTTGCAATTCCTCCCCGCGCTGTTTCACGAGGCTCTGGCCAGCAGAGGAGCCGTGTTTCATCCCAGGGACAGCTGCAATCAGTGGCGGGTGACACGGTTCCCTATCTATAATCTGAGCAAGCTTGAAAAGCACCTTGAGCTCCTAGGAATGGAAAGCTCCCCAGAAATGAATCTGATTATTGCTATAAATCATCATCAGCACACTGGCAAAAGGAATAAGCACAAAAGTAATTGTGAAGTTATTTTAGTACTGGTTATACATAGCTCCCATGTTCTCCTCTGGTTCCACTGTACAGGACAAATGACCCAGGAGTTCTTCAGGTCTGCCTTTACTTCATAGAAGGGAATGCATTCTACTTGTGATTATTTGCTAATTGTTATTGACCTTTTATTGCTTTGCTCTAATAACCATTACTGGCAAAGCTGGAATAGGAGTCCGGATCGCTTATTGCCACATCTTTGTAGGTGGGGCATTGCTCAGTGCTTCCATGACCAAAGAAGAAGGTCACAAGGCGTCAGGTTCCTCTGGAGAGCGTGGAAGGGCCAAACGCCGTTCGTCAAAGCACAAGGACTGTCTTCAACAGTTGCAGACTTGGGCTGTGTTTTCCATAAGGACAAAAAAGGGCTGGGTATCATGGATAGTTCTGAAGCATGAACTAGAAATGCTTTAAAAGATGAACCATATCTGCTCCAAAATGTAGACAGCTTCAAATGTGTGCAGGCAGCACATTCCTTACACAGGCAGCTTAAACTCATTAAGTGGTCTGAACTACAGACATCTAACATATCTACCATGAAGTCTCTTCTATGTCAATCTCAACTCCTGAATTCTTCTTTCCTAGACTTACAGGTGAAAAATGAAGCTAAAATACATTTTTTTCCCCTACAGGCTTTGTTCATGATCTATATCTATATATACATACAGGTTATTTATTTGATGTTAACGGATGCACCTGCTGCAACCTTCAGCAGCAGCAAGCAAGCAGAGACCTTGCAACCAGCTCTTTGTGCACCATATGTGCACCCAAAGGAATAAAATGGCAAGGACCGTTAACTTGCCCACATTTACATTAATTCTGAAATCCTGTCCTCTGCTTTTGGTATGCATAATAAAGGTGAACATGACCTCTGCTGAAATCACACTGAGGGTTTAGGGGTGGTGGGTATAATATACTCACTGAAATTAATAGAGAAAACGCAGCAGCAGGGGTGGGGGTGGTGCTGCCCAGCTGGAATGTGTCAGTCTTGATCAGGCTGTAGAGCAGCTCCTTAAAAGTGCAACAGCCAAGTCCCATAATGTCACCCTGAATCCCACTGCCTTAGTGCTGGCAGAAACACTGTGGGAAAGGGGTGCCTTCCCCACACCGCTGCCTGGCCGTGCATGAAACCAGCACAGCCAGGCAGGTGAGTGTCCTTCAGGCAATGTCCCGAGTGTCTCCTGGCAATTGGGTCTGTGTGCTCTGAAGCATCCAGACCTACCTCCTTCCACGAAAACCCACAGGAACTGCTGACACACCAGTGAATCCCGCTCCCACCCACAGGAAGGAAGAGGATTCCCACTAACCGGCAGCTGTTGTCTCCGGCGGTGTGAAAGGAGGTCTCGGCTCTCCTCAGGCCCAGGCGCGCGAAGGAGTGGTACATGGTGAGCGCCACGTCGCTGAGCGTGTGGATGCCGTCGGGCTCGTCGTACACGTTCTCCCAGTACGACCTGAGGCCCGGCGTGCCGGACGGGTAGTTGCCATACAAGTAATAGTCCAGCTGGCCAATTATCTCTTGGTTCACCACAGCTTCAAACTTGCGGGCAAAGAACGTTGGCCTGGCAGTCTGCTGCGGTAGTGCAAGAGAGAAAGAAACTGGAGTTGGTTCCCGTTTCCAGCCACAAGTCCCTGTCCTAAGCACAGAGTTGGAGTTGAGAGCTCAAACAGATTTTTTCTCACCATGGAGCACGCTAACATTTACAGAACACGGACTACTGTGTGCCAGGGCTAGCCCATGTCCTGGCTCTGCTCGTTTCCTGGTCATCAAGCCATCAGGATGGTCACCAGCTCTCAGGACAAGCAGTGATGATTGCCATGATCACCCTGTCTCCACAGGATGCTCAAGGCCTGGGGCATGAGGCTGGGGACAAGGTGGCAGCTGCAGGCTTGGTAGTCCCCAGTGTCAGCAAGGAAGCCCCACACCTCCATGGGACTCCACAAACCTGTCCCTGAGCACTACCAAAAGCAGAACATCGTGGATAACCAGCTTGTGTCTATCACCTTCCTAACTCGCTCAGTAGAAAACTTAGGAGAGTCTAAATGAAGTGAAAAAGACACCCGGATTAGACACAACCGTTTCTTTCAGAACTGGCTTCAGAAGCACTTGTCTTCAGAGTCAGCAAAGGAGATGAACCAAAGCCACAAGAATTGCTGCACAGCTTGGGCTCCTTCCCTGCTGTCTGCTCTTTGCATATTTTCAGCAATTCTTTTGAAGCATCTCCTGCTTTTATTTATTTATATTAGCACATGGATGCCGCTTTGGCCTTCTCAGAATGAACCCTCCAACCAGACCTAGGCTGACGTCAGGGGAGCCTTCTCCAACTCTTCCCTCTCCCTGTGTTAGCAAACTGCTGCTTGCCTCCTGGGGAAGAAGTACAAATATCTGGATACCAAGGATATGAGAACAGCAGCAGTATTTTTCCAAAATGCCTGACTGACAGGGAGCAAGCAAAATAAGAAAAGCTGTGTGAGAAATCTCAGACCACAATTATGGTGGCAGATACATTTTCTTCTTCTGTTCTGTGGCCAGTCCCTTTGTACCAAGGGCCACCTCCTGCCACCCTGCCCTGGCAGCCACTCTGTGTGCGCCTTTGCAAAATCACTCTAAAATGACATGTTAGCAAGGAGGCCGTGCCGCGCCAGTGGCTGAGCAGAGGGAAGAGGACCGTGGGCTTAGTCCAACTTTCCCTTGCTGCTCAGTTTACCCGCAAGTCCTGAAAGGCTCCTGGGTTCTTTTCCCAGCCCCAAGCCAGTTAGCTTCTGCAGACTTCCCAGAGCTTTTTAAGACTTCCCATTTGTTTTGTGCTGGAGACTTTTCTGAGATGGGAGTTTGGGAAAGCAGAGACTCTCTTAATGTCTCGTTTGCTCTTTTTGTGTCCGTGTCACTGACTTCAACTGTGCCTGGTAGGCAGCACATTACAATAAAGAAAAGATCTCTGTTTTGGAGCAGTCATCATTTTTGTGCTGTAGGGTAACACACTCCCCATCCCACACAAAGCCTGAACAAACATGCTTTATGCAGGGAGCCCTGAGGAGCTGGAGGCTTGGAATTGCAAATCTGGTGATCTCGAAACAAGCTGTTGTTCATTCTTAATAGAATAGGCCAGATACAGTCTTGAGACCAAGTGCACCCTTGAACACAAGCATTTGCTCTCATTTGCCTGGAGGAAACTGTCTCACAAAAGAACCAATTAAACTCTTTAAGGCAGTACTGCCAAACTTGGGTGACCAAAACCTCATGACTCTGACCTCCAAACCATGGGATCAACTTCAATATAACCATGCTTAAGAATATATTAATAAAAAACAGTTTTGCCTTGTGCTATGTAAGCATCTAACAGGTATTCTCATCACGTTTTTTCAGCTTTCTTTTATATTCTAAGGATGAAAATCATTGTTGTTTAACTATGAAAGGCAGTAGACACCTGAAATCATGAAAGCATCTGAACTGAAACCTTGAAAAACCCTTTTCAATAAATTTACTAGAGTAATGCTAGCACTGTGCCAGATGCGTCAGGTTTTCACCCTTCCCAGCACAGCAGATCAACCGGTGGGAAGCCTCCCAAGAGCTGTGTCATGATCTTGCTACACAGTGGTAAACCTCAAGGGCCAAAACAAGGGAAAAGAGACTTTGCCTTCCCCTAAACTATTGACGCCATGCAGCTACACTGCTCTCCACACCCAGGAACAAGGGTGAGAAACCTCCCTTGGGGAAACCAGAGAAGGGAACACTTCAGTTACCTGGAACCTGTGGAAGTCTGCAGGTTTGAAATCATTGGGCGAGCAGCCACACCAGTCTACAATGTGTTTGTACTGACATTTGCAACCGAGTTTACGGTTCCAGTTCGTGATACGCAAATTGTTGTCCACCATGGAGTCACAGTATGGGCTGTTTTCCAGGACCGTGTGAAAGAAAGACTGCAAGAAAAAGAGACCAGGTCAGTACAATCAGCTCTTCGGACTTCCATGTTCTCTCTCAGACCAGCCTGCAGGCCTGAACTGAACTCAGGTGACTTATTTTCTTTCAGAAACAGAGGACAAACAGCTACTCTTGTTTTGCCATGTATAGAGGACATTCCACATGTATGCATTCTATAGAGCATGAAAAATTACAGCACACAACAGATAAAGCCAAACAGTAATAGCATATAGTCGAGGGCATGCTGCAATAAACTGGCCCAGAATAATGACTAGCTTTGGAAACTAGAGTGGAAAGGCACCAATGCCAGCAATTATTTTATTTTTATTCCAGCTGTATGAGCAATTCTAAGAAATTCCCATTATTTCTCTTCAGTAAGCTACTCTCTGGTCCAGCAGATTCAGGACTATGTGTTGATGATAAATTTCAAATTGTTTCCTAAGACAATTCTCAAACCTCAGCTGCCACCCTGGCTGCTATGAAAAATACAATCGCAGGGGGCTTCTCTGCTGGGTTCTGAGGCTGCAGCACTCAGATGTATTGCTAGTTGAATCGCCTTGCACGGAAATATACAGTTCACCCCTGGTGCCAGAAGGACATCCCACCTCCTGCAATTACATCTGAAATCATAAGTCTCTATTTGCTGACTCAAGGTAGCAAGGAATTCCTATTGTGCTATCCTAATTATATCACCATAATATCAGCTATTACATAAATCATGGGTAATGGGGACTGATACAGCAGGTTAATAGGTCAGTGAAGGCAGGGTGATTTTAAGAAGCCAGACATGTATCTTGTAAAGAAAACCTTGCAGAGAGAAGCAATAGAATATAATCAAATTTACCTCTGTAAGAGAGAGTTCTAAGAGCAGCGACTTCTTAAAATCAGCTATAGCACAATCTATAAATAACTGGCATAACATTAGAATCACAGAACCATTCTGGCTGGAAAAGACCTTCAAGATCATTGAGTCCAACTCTAAGCCCCTCAACACCAGGCCTGCTAAACCATGTCCCTAAGCGCCTCATCTACACGTTTCTTGAACACTGGCAGGGATGGTGACTCCACCACTTCCCTGGACAGCCTGTTCCAGTGCTTGACTGCTCTTTCTGTGCAGAAATTCTTCCTCATATCTAACCTGAACTTCCCCTGGTGCAGCTTGAGGCCATTTCCTCTCGTCCTGTCACTAGTTATTGTGGAGAAGAGACCCCTGGGGAACACCACTTGTGACCAGTCGCCAGCTGGATTTAACTCCATTCACCACCGCTCTCTGGGCCCAGTTGTCCAGTTTTTCACCACTGAAGAGTCCACCTCTCTAGGCCATGAGCTGCCGGCTTCTCCAGAAGGCAGTGGCAGACTGTGCCAAAGGCCTTACTGAAGTCTAACAGACCCCATCCGCAGCCTTTCTCTCATCCACTAGGCAAGTCACTTGGTCACAGACGGAGATCAGGTTGGTGAGGCAGGACCTCCCTTTCATGAACTCATGTTGGCTGGGCCTGATTCCCTGGTTGTCACACACATGCTGTGTTATCGCCCTCAAGATGATCTGCTCCATAACTTTCCCTGATACCAAGGTCAGGCTGACAGGCGTGTAGTTCCCTGGATCCTCCATCAGACCCTTCTGGTAGATGGGCATCACACTGGCCAGTCTCCAGTCATCTGAGACCTCCCCTCTTGAGGCCTGCTGATAGATGATGGAGAGTGGCTTGGCAAGCACTTCTGCCAGCTCCCTCAGAACCCTCAGGTGGATCCCACCTGGCCACATAGACTTGTAGGTGTCCCAGTGAGGTAGCAGGTCACTGACTGTTTCCTCCTGAATTATGGTGAGTTTCGTATGCTCTCCAGAGGTGTCTTGCAGCTCAAGAGGCCAAGTACCTCGAGGAGAACTGAACTGGTGCTAAAGACTGAGGCAGAGAAGGCATTAAGTACCTCAGCCTTATCCTCATCCGTGGTGACAAAGTTCCCTGTCACATCCAATAAAGGATGGAGATTCTCCTCGGCCCCTCCTCTTCTTGTTAATGTATTTGCAGAAACACTTTTTTGTTGTCTTTTACAGTGGTGGCCAGATTGAGTTCCAGACAAGCTTTCGCCTTTCTAATTTCCTCCCTACATACCCTACTGACGTCAAATTGTAGTATTGTAGTGCCACAAATTCAAACCAGATAGATGACTATTCCCACTGAACAACAAATCAACGAGAAACACCTTTTGACTCATTCTATTGCCAAAAGAAAATATTCAATTAAAGTCAGCTTCCATCTCTTCTGGATAAAGTTTAATGGAACAGGCAGAGGAACACAAGACATTCTCTGTGATGAGAAAAGCCAAAACAAACAAACAAACAACAACAAAACACCTAACAGACACCCTAAATGGAACTTGGCAAAGACAGAGCTGCCAAATACGTTAGTAGAACAAGCAAGGCTGGTCAGCAGGGAAGGAAGTGCAGTGTCCTGGGCAGGCAAGCTCATCACAGAGCAGAACCAACACGACAAAGGAAATTCAGAGCCAACTGTCTAGAGAAATTGAATGAGTAAAGAACAAAACACAAAATTAAATCAGCAATCACCAGTCTGATGAACACACTTCACTTCCCAACTGATGACTGGGAGTATGTATTACTTTATTGCTTTTACACATGCCGATTTAAGCATTTTAACCTGAACTCCAAGCAATATCTAACAGCAGCCTACACCTTTGAACCATGTACGGCCTGCACACATATCCTGGAGCATGCACATCCTCCATGGCTGCAGCTGCAATTATCCAAGAACGCGACTACCACTCTTTTTCCCCAAGCCAGCTAACATTTAACCAGTCGCACATTGAATTTCAAGGTGAAAGTGGCTTCCAAATCAAAAGGAGGGGAAGCATCTTCACACAACCTCCAAAATCAAATGAGACTCGGCGCTTGTTTTGTGATTAAATAAAACTGCAGTCTTTAAAACCCATTTCTGCCCTTTCAGGATGCTGAGCCACCCCCAGCTCCCCCAGCAGCGCGTGCAGAGCGCGCACCCACACCTCGCCACGGCCTCCCAGGGCCCGGCCGGCCCGCTCCGACTGCCCCGCTCCGGAGGGAGCCGGAGCTCCTACAGCTGCGACGCCGCGTGAGCACGCAGGAGCTGGCCCAGTCACCGCCAGCAGCGGCCCTGCCCCATGCGCCCTCAAGGCTGAGCTGCTCCTTCGATAAACCAAATGAATATAGAAAGGAAACCCAGAGCAGGGCAAAAAAATATTCCTGCTATGCCCAAAAGAATATTGCTGAGAGTGATTCCAAGACACCAGGATCTAGACCTAATTTCATTCCTGACGGATGTCTGTTCTTACAGACTGCCAGGAATGAGGATGACGACTTGGCAGTGTCTGTGAGGAATCTGCTCTGTTACAAAGCCAGCCTATCCAGCAGCAACAGTCACCTAGAGTCTCTTGGCTGAAATTTAATAATTAAATTTTGTCATAGGTGTTTCCACCATGGGGAAACAGATTTTTTCTCTTTCCTCAGCTTGGTCAAAATGCACAAGGATGGTCATTCTGGGTAATGATGCATAATACCCAAATATGGGCAAAATGTCCAAATACACTCAAATTGACCCCATATGGCACTTTGGGAATGCCCAAATATGGTCAAAATAAGCAAATTTAGACATTTCAGGCCAGATGACCAAATATGGAAAAGACCAATATGGTAACTTGGGGGCTGGATATGCAAATACAGAAAAAAGAGACCAAATATGGACAAAATGCACAAACATGGTAGAAACTATAAGATACGGTAATCTGGTCACAGAGCCATAAATATGGTGATAGTGCCTACATAAGGTAAAATAAACAAACAAACAAAACACATATGGTCACAATAGCCATTGATGGTCACACAAAATGGCCTTATAGTGTCAAAATTATGGTAGAAATGACTAAATATGGCAGAAATGACTGAATATGGCAACCTGGGTATGGACAACTATGGAGAGGAGATGAGGGGGAGGAGACTCTCATTATTTATTTAGATTATTTAGAAATACCCCAAATTCTGACCTCCATTCAGTGGAAATGAATATTATATTTTAAATACTGTGCACAAAATATTTTGCAAATGCATCCATATGTGCAAATACCTCTTGTAGAAAAAGCATTTAATAGGGAATGAATCAGGCATCTATAGATGCTTCATTAGTGATTTCATTAACATGTTTGAATTTTCTGTTCAAAGTCAGGCTTCAGCGTACGCTCCTTTTCGCGCCTCTCCGTGCGGCTGCCTGGTGTCACCCCGCCTCGACCCGGTGCTGCCGTGCAGCGGAGCTGGAGTGGGCAGGGAGAAAAACGCTGCCTGTCAATACATGAGAAGAGCACAGTGAGGAATCACTGCTGCCTCCTTATTTGTTTTCTGTAATACAATATGGAGAGTGCTAATCGGATTAGCCTTTCGGGATGAATGATAACAGCATATAAAAGCAAATGTTAATAGGCAGCATGCTAACAAAGTAGAAAATTGCTAATAAAAAAAAATTGCTAATAAAATTCAGTGGGCCTAATTTGAACTTTGATAGGATGGCCAGCACTGAGAACTGCTTTCTCAGAGGTGAGAGAAGCAAGAGGTGGGATGGTAGAAGAGCAGCCTCTGCAGAAGCAGCTGCATCCTCCCACTGCAGCTCCTGCCAGAGACTGTCCTCAGTCACCTGGAAAGGGAAAACTGCCCTGCTTTAAAATCTAAAGGCATTACCTGCACAGAAGTGTGTGTGTGCAAATACATGTCTGGTATCCCCTGAAACATGGTGCAGGGAGAGATGTGGCAGAGCAAAGGCAGACGAGGGGGCTAATACGTCCCCTAAAATGCCTTGATTACCTGGGTTGCATCCTAGGACTTGTTAGAGTATCTTGACTGACATCTCTAGCTGTGACACATGGTTCAATGCTACGAAAAACTTTGAAAATTCTTCTACTAAAAGGAAAAAAGTAAATCAGAATAAAAACCCGAAGCTCAAAGCATAATGTCGTAAGGCAATTGAGTGCATGGACAGAAAGAGCAGACAGAGCAGCATGGCTGGCCCCCAAATAATCCCCCTACTCTTTTTAATGTTAAATGACAGCTCAGTGAATATGGATTTTATGCTTGAATTGTTTGGTTAAACCCATAAAGGCATCTATTCTCATTCAAGCGCGAGGGAAGAAAAAACCCTACCCAATTACCCATTGCCCTGTGTCCTTTCATAATGATACAGAAATTTCTGCTAGATAATGGATGAAAGGGTTATCAGAGTTGAAAGAAAAGGTGATTTTTAACAGAAATGGGATTAAAGCAAGATTATTCAACATGTGTGTGGAATAATAAACCCCTATCAAAAGATGACAACCACTGTGCTCTGCTGCAAGCTAATAAGCCTAAATTTGCAAGATGGTTCTCATCGATCCCTCAAAATGTTCAGGAGTTGCCACTGAGGAGGGAACTTGGGTCTTTCTCCTGCGCTGGGGGGAGAGTCGGGACCTGCTGGGGCAGCCTGCCCAGGTGCTGGAAAGGCCCTGGAGGCGCCTGCCAGCCCAGCTTCACCAAAGCACCAGCTGCTGTTTGCGGAGTTCCTATGGGCAAGAGGGCTGGATAATGGCGAGGAAAGCTACTTCAGCAGACAATTCACTCATTCTGTAGCCTTCCAAGTCTTTGTGGAGCAACAACTTGCAAGCAAAGGGCTGTTGGATTTTTGATCGCTCCGTAATAGGTTAATGGGTTCAAAAGTACAAAACTAAAGCCACTGCTTAAAAAAGGTCCCACAAACAAATTGAGCAACAGCAAAAGCAGCTGTAACAGTGAAGGACTGATCTGTCATGGAGGTAAAACTCTCATTACCAACAGCAGGATGATCCAAAGCCGAATGAAACTGAGGAAAATCCCCGCTGATGTCAACTATCTTCTTTGGGCCAAGCAAAAGAGATGCAATTTCGAGAAAAGAGGGGGTGCTTTGAATAACCTCTTCATCTTTGTTACCAAGTCGTCATTGGAAAAAGTGATGTACTCCACAAACTTCCTGTTCAGGAGGAACCAGTCGGATCCCCCATCGACCGCGATTCCTTCGGGGATCTGCCGGTCCCCCAGACGCCACATGTGTGTATCACATTCCAGGAAAAGCCGATCCAGCCCTTGTTTTCTAATAAATCTGAGGGAATACAAAAACAGTCATTAACTGTTAATCTGTACTTTGTTATCACTGGCTCGATAATTAAAGCAGCTACTCTCCCAAACAAGAAGGGATAAAAAGGTCACTGTTTATATTTCTGTTCTATCCATAAATAATGTAAAGAAGTTTAATAAATGATTAATCAGTTATATATTTCAGTTAGAGGGGCAAAGATCATCAGATTTCTTTTAAACATCATTTGCACCTTTAACTGACCTGAGTCAGAACTCTGCAAACCGCAGAGCTCAGCTGGGGCATCTGTAACATGCATTAACTCTTTGCAAACCACTGCAGAAGACCCATGAGAGGAACATGAGCAAAAAACAATCGATGTAATAGACTTCCGCCTCTAAATAAATGAATGTATTTGAAAAACTGCAAACTGTACATAAAATCAAAATGACCAATTTTCTCCTATGTTATTATTCTGTGAATCTTTCTCCTGGGGTATGGTTAATTAGGAAGAAGTACAATTGCATTGCTCTTTGCCATGGAATGAGTATATTTGCTCCATTCTCAAGTCTACAGGGAAAAATATTTTGTTTATTGCTGAACCATGGATAAAAAGAACTGTAGAATTGCAATGTTATGGAAATGCATTATTTGAGACCACTCTAACACAAAAAAGAAGTTAGAAAATCAATCTGTATTTGAAAACACTTTGGACTGGATGCCCACAGGTGTTCTGGGACTGTCTGGTACAGCTTTTTATTTGTTACCCATTTTCAGAATTACTCCCCAGCAAGTGAAGCCTGGCAGTCATGAATTAGCGCACACTCTCAGAAGGCCTGAATTCCATTAATAACAGCAAGTTGCTGTACTCAGTACATCCGACACGTTTTGAGGAATAATAAATGTTAGCTAACCCGACCGTTTACAGTAACTAACAACCACAGCTAATGGGCCCCCACCACAGACCTCCCTGGATTTAAGAACTGCAGGTGAACTAGAGCTGCACCAGCTACAGCAAAAAGGGCAATGTAAGATCTGGCCATAAATCTCACTTTCTACACCTGGAAATACGAGTCTTTTGCCACGCAGTAGGCTAAATTTAAGGTTGAAGTTTCATTCTGGATCAATCTAAGAACTGAGACACCATTATGAAATGGGCATACATTAATTTTCAAAAGCACCATAAATGCCTTCAGGGTCTGTCTCCCACTGATAGCTATCTTCCTCCTCACAGTATGAGCAAGAAAGCTCCTCTGTTGATACAACAGTGAAGGGAACGTGCGGGTAAGAGTGGAGAAATTTTTCTTTCCATGAACAAGTTTCTAATTTCATGTTCCATTATGAAGGATAATAGAAAAGTCTTGCAATTTTAATGCAGTGCTCTGGAATTTAATCTTCAAATTCAATATTTATGCAGTTATCTCCATATCAAATATTAATGTGCCTGAAAGTTTGGTCATTTAATTTGTTCAAAAATAAATGCTCAATTGAGTTAATTATTTTAAGAAAATAATAGATTATTGACTATATATAAATAGGGACATAAAGTTCTTTTCCATTATTTTTTCCAGCTATCTTTATCAATTTATCATCTTATACTCTCATGCTCAAATGAAGTTTCTTTGATTGCAATAGACACATCTCCAAAGCAAACTAAACACAAAAATCCCAAACCCTAACTATTCCAAAAACCTCCCAACTTACAAACTACCTAAGTCTGCATAACATGACGTGCTTTGCAATCAGCTCATCTCAAAAAGCTCAATGATACAAATCCAGCTCTACTGCGTGAAACCAGCAATGGAAGAGGGAGCCACATCCAACATACGAAGGTCCCACCAGCAGACCTGGCCTTGCTGCTTCAGGTCTTCCCAGCGAGTCAGCAGCCTCCCTGTTTACACGTGTGCACAATTCGATGATTATTTGAGTTAATGGCTTGGACAAGCAACTCGTCAGCACATGCACTGAAATACAACATAATTAGTCCTTGGGAACAAGTGATTTCACAATAAATTCCAGTCCTGAAATCTTATGGCAAGAGGTTATTTGAAGAAAACTAAATGAAGTTTCCAACCACTCATCCTACAGAAAGGTGGCATAGCCCAGCTGAAGAGCAGCAAAATCCGGAAACCTGCAAAGGGACAACCCTTTTGCTAATGCTTCTTTAAGCCTTTCTAGAAACTTTATATCAGGTTTTAAATATGTCAGGTTTTAAACAGCAATAACAACCTAATAGGAAGAACACATTTCTTGGAAGGATCCCTCTTACAAGGCCTACTTCATATACAGTTATTACACCTAAGCACTACAATGTGCTGGCATAGCAAATAATTTCCCTTTATCTATGAAGCACTAATTTATACAATGAGCTTTGAAGCCACAGCTCTCCACTGGGTGATTGCTTATTATCCATTTATGTTTTTTGAGCGCCAAGGAAACCCAGCATATTTGGGATCAGCAAGAAGCTAAATAATCCTGGATGCAATCCAAGGATGCAATGAGTTCCTCTCGCAGGCCAAGGTTCTCGTGCTGGCTGGCATTTTTTTTTAGTGAAAGAGTTGGACGCGGCATTCCTTTTTTCCAGAGTTTCTTCCAGGATGACTAATGTCACCAAGCTGCTCCAGCCGAAGTGATTTTTGAAAGTCAGGGAAGCAAGACCTAACTCTAGGCATCCTGCACACACCTTGAGGGAAGGGCGAGGTGCTACCTGGATGTCTTGAAGGCCTCTTTAAGACACCAAAGTCCCTAGCACACTGAGAACAGTTCACAAAGATCCTTGACTCACCATCCAACAGCATCTGGATGAAGCTGCCTCTGAAAGGAAAGGTAGGATGGAGAGCAAACCCTTGACCCTACTGATTTGTTTCTTGTCTAGTGCTGCATTTCCTAAGTTTCTGGTTATACACCCAAAGAGTGCACTCGATGAAGGCATCCAAGTGTCCAAGGGAGTAATGAAATGCACATAATGGTGATTCTCCCTTCAAGTCTTTCTCTCTTGGGTTTTATAGGACCCTAGCATATAATTCCCAAGGTAAAGCAGAAAAACAAAACAAAACAAAACAAAAAAAAAACAAAAACAGATTAGTGATAGCACTTCATTAATCTTAGTCAAAATGGGCAACTTCAGGTGCTTTCTGGCACCCTGAACTTTGGGTAAGACTGGCACATTTTGCTAACGGCAGATGGACTTCCAGGACATCTGGACACACAATAGTATGGAGATATGGTTAGCCACGTGCAGTGCAGATTGCCATTCGGTGAAGACACTTGGCTTTTCCCCCGATCTAGCAATGGGAAGAAAATAAAGATGATGTGAATAGAGAGTCAACTATGAGAAAGTAAAATAAGACCAAGGTTCAGCAAAAAGCATCTCATCTAACCTTATTCCACAGATCACTCCATTTACGATGTTTTATATTCACTCTTAATCAATTTTTATTCCTCATAAAGAGCCTCTAATTTTGTGGAAGTTGGATTGTATTTGCAACTAACCAGAAGGCACGGTATAATATTTATATATCCTGCTAGCTGAGTTCATCAATCAGGCAATTGAAAGTGTGCAGGCTGCCTTTTGTGTCCTGACTAAGTGTGAAGGCAGCCTCAAGGTTTACATGATCTGGGTTGTTATTTTTATGCTTTGTTAAAACAAACAAAAAACCAAACACCTAATTGTAAAACATGATGTGTCACACCAGCAGTTAGTTAACTGCCTAAAAAGCTCACGACTGCAATATGTCTTAGGGACTGCCTTTCACTTTGCAGCATATTTAAATATTTATAAACACATTTAAGATAACATTACAGGATTCTTTAACATATATAATGTAAGATGTTTAGCAAAAGCTCCTACAACACAAATATAAACAAATGGCTCAGTGCTTCTTGCAATGTATTTTAACTACTAATAAATAATGTGGCACAGTTACTTAAAAGCAGAAAAAACATCACAAGCAAATCTGAGCCTTCTGCATAGCTTTTAGCAAGTGACACTGCATAGCACTGTAATGCTGAAAGCCCACCACTCCTGAATGCTCACATGTTTATAATACATAAAGAGTTTTGTCTTTTTCTGGTTTTCAGAGCCCAGGAATGAATAAAGCTTTCTCAAGCATCAGAAGCTACCAGGTAGTGAAACTTTACTTTATCAGTAAGATCATTACTGAAAGGTTTTGGTCTATAAAGAATATATATTTTAAGCAGGAAAGGTTTCCTCTTCCTAAATGCTTCCTTGTTCTGGCCTCTTGCCTAGAAAGCTCGCTGCCAACATTCACTGCTAACCAGACGTCTCTACCAAGATATTATTATCACCATTCACTATACAAGAATAAGAGCTATGAGCTAAAGTCAGGGACACAGCAGAAAGACTATTTATCACGTGCAAAAAATCAGCGTCAAAGCAAAGAGCCAAAAGTCTTGCAGCCAGACAATGTTCTCTTGAATGGAGAGAAGGACGCTCTGCATGTTGTTTTGACCGTATCTACCACTCTTGAAGTCACTTTAGACAAACATTTGAAGAACTCACCCGATCTGAGTAAAAAATGACAAGTAAATATTTCTATGGCTACAACACACGTGAGGTTGACTCCCAACAATGTCTCCCAAACATCTGGAAGCGCTTCCTGGAATCCGTCTGTTCAGGGGTGGGAAGAAGCGACTTGCCATATAGGTGACCAGGCAGAAAGCACACAACTGTACTTGGGATACCTTGAATCTAACAGTTGCAACAAACAATTTGTGAGCAATCCATAAACTACAACATATCTCCAAAACCCAGTCACCGAATAATTCTTTATAACAAGCAAGGTCATACAATTCAAAGCTGCACAGAGCAGTTGCATTCCCTGACCTGCGAGCACAAAAATCTTGGCCTTTCACAAATATATGGTGAAATTCCAGTTGCTTGCAACACAACCCTGACTTCACCCCATTTTCATGAGTAACTCTCTTCTGCGAAAAATTACACAGCATTTAAAAAATCTGAAGTAATTAACAATTGGCAATTTAAGTACAGTGCCCACGCTGTGCCA